AAAAATTGTATTCCTAGCTAATTTATCTAATATTTTATAGTTGACCAAACATTCATTGATTTTTTAAATTTTATTCCTGAAAAATCTAACCTAACCTTTTTGAGTTGTTGCAGTCTTGAACTGGATAGTCAATATGGTTATGCAGTCCGTGTGTTGAATTTATAGATTGGCAATATTCTTAAAATACATTCTTTATTATTGATAAAAACAGATGCCAATAATATCGTTAAACAAATTATTAAATTTATTATGTACAAGAAAAGTTCACAAAACTACAAAAATAATTATAACTAATATATTTTTAAAATTTTCTGGAATAATGCAATAGGTAGTATTTTATATTGATTCAGAAGTTAAATGGCCAACAAATTTACTTTAAAAGTATTAGTAGATACAGTTGGTATAAAAAGTTATCTTACTCCAAGTGTATTGAAATCAATTTTAAATGAAAATTAATTTTGATTAAAAATTGATTTATTGATTTCAATATTTAAATTAATTTTTAAATGGATTACTTAATTAGAGGGAGATGAATCAAAAATAAGTTTAGTAGTGAAAGCTTCTATGAAATATAACTTAACCGGCAAAGTTTCCATATTAAAATGGTTATTTCGGTTCAGTATAAAAAATTATAAAATTAAATACTATTCTAATGATCTAGTATGTACAAAATACATTAATAATAGTTTTATATCGCATATTAGATCATTAGAATAACTATTAAGTTGTTATTTGTTAATTTTACCAAGAACTATAATACTGACATCCTTCATATTATATTAAACATACAATTATTTTAATAATGTTTATCATAAGGTCTGTCGTTATATTCAATCAATCAATTATTGAAAAAAAATTACCGAATCTTAGATAGATATTATTGAGAATATTCTCTAAAAAGATAATGGCCGTGATTTGACATGACTAGTTCTGATGAATTACTGCAAGATTTTTTAGATTATAGTACTATACTATTAAACGTCTTTTTGAAATTCCATTAATTCATAAATTGAATAATTGAATCTCAAATGTTTAACTTTGAGTTTATTTTCAATAGGGATGCGATGATATTAGAAGTCAAGATCATTTTTCCGTGAGAGACGGGGTCTGACAAGGCCTACTGTTTTTTACTTCAGTGACACTCCAACCCTTTGTGTAATCGTGGAGTATCCTCGTCCAGGTGAAAGGCCCGGGTGAACTCCCAGGAACCAAGCATCCCGACAACCCAACCGGTATGCCACCGTTACTTGAGCGCCATAATAAGCTGCAGCTGCGACTTGGGAACGGCGGTTTCCCGCTCGAATCAAACCCCTTCTACTTAAGCATTTCTCCCACATCCACCACGAGTCCTTCCTCAAGTGCGGCGGCCGTATCACAGACGAGCACGAATCCTCTATGATAGGGACGGTCAAACAGTCAATCACGATCGACCAGTCGATTACATACGATTTTAAAATCGATCGTGTTGGAATTTATTTTTGGACTACGCACATAAAAAATAATTACGGTGGTATAGTAGCTCAATAATAAAAAAAAAATTTGTCGAAGTTGATCCTCAAAGGTGAAGTATATTTAAAAGTTTTAAAAGATTGGCCGTCCCTGCTCTATGAACAATCACGGTCGCGCGTCATCTGACCGTCGTCCTCCGAAGCGCCGGGACATTATTAGCAAGCAAGCTCTACGGATTTGTCTCCGGGTCCCGTGGTACGAGGTTCGAATACAATGTTCCGGCTTTTGCAACTACCGATTTTCGCAAGCGAATCGTTGGGGCACCGCTACGTGTATCACGGCTATTCCTTTTCGTGCATACGGTTTATTTGTTAACACGTTAACCGCCATATGCCCGCCGGCGGTCATACGGCAACGTTCAAATTCTATACTTTTATGCCCGCCGGCGCCCATAGTTGATCATTACTACCACGCCACATGACCCGCCGGCGACCATAAATTCATATTTGAACAAATGCTTATAATTTTTGTGGCGTTACGATAATGCATTTTTAAATAGTACTATGGCGTAGAGAAGAACATGACGATTCTAATGGTATAAAAAAACACAACATATTTTTAATTTTAACGATTATTTTGTTATAACAAACATATCATTTTCATAGTTAAATTTGGAAATAAATTGGTGCTTATGAAACATAGACACAACTAAAATACTGTCATTTTTTATAACTTGTTAATGTTTATTTTATTGTAAATAAATAAAATAATAATATTACAAAAGTAATTTAGTTATTATTAAAAAGTATTTAAAAAATGTTTAAAATAAATAATTGTTGCTTAGCTGATAAATTAAATACAATTAAATTTTAGTTTAAATAAAACATATAATTATATTATATAAAATAAAGATAATAATTTTATCTAATAATTAATTTACATGATTTTTATTAAAACAATCAATGCATGTATACATTTTACATGTTGAACAAAGCGTATTTACCTTTTTGGTTGCTAGTGCAGCTGACTTTGAACCTAAAACTGTGGTTTTATGTGAGTAACAGTGTAAGCATCTTTTTCTAATTTTCCTGTTCCTATGGTCCCTTTCTACAGATTCTTCAAAAACATGTTTGACTCTTTTACGTTTATTATTTGAATTAGACGGCTCTTCAGATATGTTGGTTAACTGATCTAATCCTAACAGTTCATCTACCAACATTTCTCGAAATTTCGTAATAGATATTTTTTCGTTTGGAAGTTTCTTTATATTATACACAATAAAAGCATTGACCACCGATGTACCTAATAAAATTTCAGTGGCCACTTTATGGTACCATCGTATTGATTTACGTATCGGCGAATTATAACTTGATAATTGGTCGGATAAGTCTATCCCTGCCTTTCCAGAGTTGTAGTCTATAATTATTTGTGGTTTTAAAATCGGTTCATCATTTCGATTCTTTTTGCCTGTATCAATCATTTCAATACCATGTTTGGTAGACAACATTGCAACATCTCGTTTGTCGTGCCATTTCGCCACTACTATCCCATCTGTACTTTCTTTTCCAATTATTTGTCCTTTTTTCAATTTTGTTTTTAACACTTCAGGTAACTTAACACGATTTGTTCTCAATGTTCCTACCAGATGTGTGTTGTTCTTCAATAATTCACGAGCCAATGGCATGGATGTATAAAAGTTATCTGTAACTACAGTACGTCCTACATTTAAATAAGGTCTAATTAACTCCATTACAACTCTAAGTGCTAGACCTTTACCATCTACCTGATTTTTACCAGCATATACTTGTAAATCATGTGTATATCCATTTTTTTCACATATTTTAAATAGCTTCACTCCATATTTATGCGCCTTCCCGGGTATGTATTGCTTGAATTTCAATCGACCACGGAATGGAATCATTGACTCATCTATTGCCAAGTACTCATCTGGTTCCATGACATTTTGATAATTTTTTACAACACGTTCGAGCAAATCACGAACTTTATAGATACGATCATTGTCAGGGGTTTCCTCGTTATCCGCAAAATGCCAAAATCTTAAGAGTAATTCAAATCGATTTCGAGACATTATTTTAGGAGCAACATTATTTTTGTATCTAATTTTGGTACTCCAATAGCTTTCTAAACTCGGCATTTGAACTAAACCAAACCACAAGAGTAAGCCCATAAACTTTTCAATTTCATCGACGTTTGTTGGTGACCATTTAGAGAATCTACTGGACTTAGTTAGCCTGCTCTTTGAAAGAAACTGTTCAGCGTTACGATTAGTTTCAACTACCATAAGCTCAAAAATATCTGTACTACAGAATAACTTAAAATAATTTAAAGCTGAGGCATTATCAGGAATATCAATTTTGAAACCCGGAGTCTTATTGAAGATAAGTGGTTTTTGGTATGTTCCTGATACATCGAACCAAACGGTAGAAGATGTATTATGATTATTTTCAATATTGAAATCCTGATTATTCTCTATAATTTAAAATAATATGTCAACTATATTAAAATATTTGATTTAAAATTATGAATAAAAAATTCTGTGATAAAAAATGTGTCCCGGCCCAAATAATAATTATAAACGTCCGTATTGTAAAATACAATAAAATAAAATGAAGTAAAAATAATAATTTAAATTTAAAAAAAATAAAAATAAAAATGAATAATAAATATTAAATAAAAATTAATAAAGTTTTATTACCTATATTAGTCGAATCTACTACTGAATTCTCTGATTCAGAAGGAAAATAATCACGATCAGCATCTGAATCGTCAATTTCACTAAAATCACTAAAATCACTCAATTCATCACAAAAAAGTTCGTTAACTATTTCATCATCATTAATGCAATCATCGATACGCTGCCTCTTTTGCCTGCTTGAGCTAGCCATTTTGATAATTTCATTTACAAAAAATTAAAACAAACACAATATGGAAAATAATAGTATGTTTGCCATTTGGTCGCCGGCGGGCAAATGGCGTCAGAAGTAAAATCGTATTATCACCACGCCACATGGTCGCCGGCGACCATACAAAGTTATAACACTGTTTAAAATTAGTACTTATCGCTGATAATTTTACTCTTGGAATCGATTTAATAGCTACACTAGAACCAAAGATATAAATACATACAAATTAGTAATAACTTGGGAAAACACACTTGGCGTATCAATAAACGACCGCTGTATGACCGCCGGCGGGCATATGGCGGTTAACGTGTTAAGAGATTACCTACCCTATACTGGACTAGCATATTTTCCTGCTGAAAAACATAAGGCTAATGCCGCAGTTCTTATGACGTGAGGATTACAGCCTAATGTGGAAACACTGAGCTTCCAAAATATACCATTTCTTGTCATTATTTTATTCTTGGTGTTTTTGCAGTGGATTCTGTAGGGGAGAGGTCGGTCTAACGTTACTCCGAGATATTTTGGACACTATGTTGTAAGTTTCGTATCATTCCAGAGACGTTAAGAGTACGGTTAGCACATCGATTTCTTAGGTGAAAAGCACAGAGCTATAAAATCTTCGACAGAATGCTGCTTAACCGCCTAGTCCCATTCGTGGACAGCACACTAATTAGAGAACAAGCTGGTTTTCACCCAGGAAAATCATGTACAGGACAGATACACAATCTAACCCTAACAATCGAGAACGATTTTGAAAATAAGAAAGTCACGGGCACGGTGCTCATAGATCTAACGGCAGCATACGACACGGTAAACCATAGACTAATGCTAAAGAAACTATATGATACTACCTTGAATTTCGAGTTTGTAAGAGTTTTCAAAACCCTTTTAAGTAACAGAAGATTTTTCGTAAATCATCAAGTCAAGAATATTAAGTGGAGCATCTCCAGAAATGGTCTCCCTCAAGGAAGCGTGCAAGCTCCTATACTATGTTTAACATATATACCAACGATCAGCCAATATCCACAGATAGCGACGTAAAGCATTATATTTATGCTAACGGTAGAACAATCGCTGAGGAAAAAAAGATTTTGTACGTCTGACACAGAAGGGATATTGGCGATAATTCTTTTTAGGCCATCCTTATTTTTCTCTGGTTTTAGTTTTCCTCCATATTTTCGAAATGTTTTTCCGGTCTTTTATTTCGTTATATAAGGAAAATATCTAACTTTGGCTTTCGGCCCTAAATTGCGGATCTATGCGATAAAAATATTATCTAGTCCAGCTGCTTTCCTAAGTTTCATTGTCTCTATAGCTATGTTCATTTCATCCTCTTTGTAAGACCGGCTGAGGCGATTCCCTTCCTTTCCTTTGTTTCGTTTTATTATTTTATTAGGTTTATCTTCTTGCTTGAATTTTTTGAGTTTACCGACTATTAGTTATTGGTAAGCAATTTAATCAGAGTGACGTTTGACAATCCTTTCGCGTTAATAGGTCACTGTTAAACCTTTTAATTAGGCAACACGCCTGTTTATTACTATGTTTCATGTTCGTTCTATCTTATACCTTATGCCATTTATTCCTTTTTTCCTGTGCAATGGTATTCATGAGCTCTTCCCCTTTGTTTCTGGTTTGTTTACTGAAGGGATTATTTTCAAACAGATTGATATATGTGTTATAATTGTCCAAGATTTAATTTGATAATCCAAGTATATGATGTGTCTTATATCCTCTTGGTTTGTGTTACCGGGATATATATTTTACTTTATCTACAAAGGATTCATAGTGTTCCAGTAGTGGTTCGATATTTTACATAGTTGAGTCGAGATCTTTTGAGAAAAGGTTCCACTTTGCTTTATGAAGTTGTATCTCTTTTGGAATAGGACAATATTGGGTCTCACCATAGCCTCAATCAGGCAAATTATGGGCATATGTTGTGTGTTTGGAATGGGGTCTCCCATATTTTTGGTACAAAGTTGACTGATAGATTCACTGACAAATAAAAGGTCGGAGTTATATCCTTTCTTCCATCGACCGCTATTGAAAGATGTAGGTAATTTTTTTATCATGAATCAATACCATATCTTCGCCTTGCGCCCAGATTTCTACTGTTTCGCCATCATCGTTTGTCTCTGTATAGCCCCAGCTTGAACTGTGGCTGTTGAAATCATCTTTGACTATGTTAGATTTGTGAGGTAGGCTGTCTTCAGATTTAAGATAGGGAGCTATGAAAGGAGAATTTGGTGGCTTATAGATTGTTCGATAAGTACGCTTTGATGAAATCGATGTCATTTTGTTCGTATATTTTGACTAACTGGACGATCATATTAGGTTTTGTGAAAATAGCACTGCCGTATTTTCTATGGTGCCTTATTGCTGCTAACTTCATTCCAGATATACTTGGTGTACTAAGGGTCTGGTCTCGATGGATCTCTTGGACGCACATAAAGTCGCGTGATGTTGATTTGTAAATGGTAGATGGCAGTTCTTCCTTAACTCACGTAATACCTTCGATGTTTATCAATACGATCGTCAGTGCTGGCCCTGAAGAGGGCCGTTTTAGGCGCAGGTTTTTAGGACCGCCAGACATTGTTATTAAACTGAGAGACAGGTTGCGCCTGGGTATGGAAAAATTGGCCGGTGATTGAGTAACACCGTTACTAGGGGACATCACGCTAAGGTTTCTTCCTTGTCCCCAATCTAGGAAGTTTAAATGCATTTAACTGGATTTTCAATGACTTTCGTTTGAAAATAAAAAACTCGATACGACTTAAAACTTTTTAACTGCAGAACAGCACAACGCTTTCGACGTAAGGAGGTATAAAAATCCGTCGCAAGCGGATTGCCCAGACAGGTATCGATTTTCACTGGGCGATGACTCATAGCTAGACACTTAATTACCATTTCAGAATGTATTTATTTATTTCCATACACACAAGCATATGGCTTGGGACGCTCGAATCCGACTTTTATATACTTATATTACTTACATTTATATACAAGAAATCACAAAAAAAAAAAAATCGAATTATAAATACAAAAATATTTCCATTTTTCGATAATACAGGGAAATGCATTAATAAACTTATGAGCAAGTTAAAAAAGCCTTTATCGGAGTCCAGAATAATTGCCAATAACATACAAGTATTTAACACGTTCACGGAAACCTCACTTTTTGATGTAATTTATGTATCTACCTCAGAAATGCACTTTTTTATTACTGCTTTAGCAGTAATATTTTAGTACTGCTATAAGTATTGACCTGCTGCATATTTTTTTATAATTATTGGTCATTACTATTATAATAGTAACAGTATATAATAAATTCAAAACCATATAATAATAACTGAACTTGAGTTTTATTTTAAAAATCAATATCAAACTTAAAAAGTATAAAAATTACATTATATATATTATGATACACATTAATTTAAAACATAATATTATTCAATATAAATTAAATAAATAAATAATAATATCATAAGTGAATTTAAACAAATATTTATTTCTCATTGATTATGATTGTGCCATTCTTCAAAACATTTCCCAGGACAAAGAGGTTTACCACAGACTTTACATTGAAGTGATGTTTGTTTTCGTATTTTAGTTTTGTAACACTGAATGCAATTTTTAAAGTATGTTTGTCTTTTATAATTTTTTGGTACTGGAATTTTTTCTGCATAGTGATTGTTTTCAGGTGCTTGAATTTTCGTTTTTTTTAATTGAAACAGATCTGTTACTGTAGTTTGCATTGGAAGTCCTATTAAATTTTTAATTAACAGATCACGAAATTGCTTAAAGCTTATATTTATGTTAAAATGTTTTTTGTAAATAAAATATGAATTCCATGTAGTAATGTCAAACATATGGTACAATACTTTCTTATACCATCTAGCCGATTTTCTTGGAGATGAGTAATAGCTGACCATTTGATCACTGCGGTCAATGCCACTCATGTAGTTGTTATAGTCCACTATTTCTGCTGGTTTATTTTTGAGTATGCCGTATTTGTTTTTTGAAGGTATAATTTTTGGATGATTTTTAGTAGTTAAACATAAAACATCGCGTTTATCTTTCCATTTGGATACATACACATATTTGTTGCGTCTCCAAATATGATCACCACGTTTTAATTTTTTAGTGGTTACTTCCTTTGGGTTTCCTCTGCGATTGGACCTTAGAGTACCAGTTGTATGGGTTTTTTTTTTCTAATAGAATATTTGATAAAGTGACACTATTATAAAAATTATCCGTGTAAAGGCTGTGCCCTTTATTTAAAAACGGTTTCATAAGGGTTAAGACGATATTGTCAACTTTTGATACTCCCTCCTCAACTGCTGACGATGTTTGTTTGCCTTTGTACATATCAACATTCAAAACGTAACCATCTTGAGTACATAATTCGTAGAATTTTATACCATATTTAGCCTTTTTTCCTTTTATATATTGTCGCCATACTAATCTACCTCAATGTAATAACAATGATTCGTCCAATAATAAATTGTCATCGGGAAAATATGACTTTTGAAAGTTTTGAATTAACATGTCAAATACTGGATAAAGTTTTTTCATAGGGCCTACTAATGGATTTGTATCATTTGCATATTCTACACTAAAACATCTACATAATTTCTCAAATCTCCGTCCTGACATAATGTGACCAGCAATAGGATGATAATATAATGGGTTATTAGAGAACATATCTCTAACAACCGAAAATTGTATGGAACCTCCAAGCAAACACGCTGCCAAAACATGTTGTACTTCTTCAGAGGTTGTTCGCTTAAAATGTGTATTTCTACTACCTTTATTGTGAGGACGACATTGGAGACTCATATTTTCACCATATTTATTAATAGAAGTTACAAATATTTCAGTTATTTCGTCGGTCCAAATTTGTTTAAAAATTTCAATTGGATTATCACGAGCACTTTCATTAATTTCTAATTTTATTCCTATCGAATCACTATTAAAACCAAAGTCTGGAATGTCTAAATAATTGTTCACCCATAAATTACTATTATCAATAGGTTCATCATCGCTGCTATCACTTGAACTTTCGGAAAACGATTCATCGGCTGATGGATCGTCTGCACTTGTTAATTCTAAGCTTTGTGATGGCCCAGCAAAATTAATATTAGTATTATTCTCACCTGGTCGATATTCTGGGTCGGCATCAGAATCATACACATTCGATATGTCTGATTCAAAACTTTCATCTAAAAACTCTTCAATAGCTTTTTTAGAACTATTAGCCATTTTTAATTATAACACAGTAAATAAACACGAAAATAATGACGTACACTTTGTCTGACGTCCAAAATACGACTAAATTGTTATTCCGTAATCGTAATCGTTTTCCGTCTAAACGTTTCAATAATAATATCATTGTATCATAATATCATATAATTACAAAGCAAACAACATCCATATAAACATAAAAAACAAAAATTCCACCAGAAAGTATAAAAATGAAAACATGTCATATTTGGAATAATGTTATTGTGTGATAATGTTATGTGCCCAAATATATGAGTATACGTAATGGGTCAGTCTTATTTTTAGTTTCGTATAATACCATTAAAAACAGTACTGTATGAGCAGTAATGCCCGATTTCGTTGGTTTTGTAAATTACTGTTATAGCAGTAGTGACCAATTACATAAAAATTGAAAAAAATTGAAATTACTGCTATAGCAGTAACTGTCCGTGAACGTGTTAAATGGATATTGAAATACAGAAAAGAAAATGTTATTATTTACAAAAAAACTTTAAGTAACAAATTCATGTAATAAATTTAAAGGTTAGCCATACAGCTGTTATACAAAATTAAGACCAAATTGAAAAAAAATTATTCAGATTTATCCTAGGACAATTCGTGCATATTAAACATACAGAACCATTATTTTTTTCTTTGTATGCCATAATTTTCCATGTGTAATAAATGAAAATGGAAAAATAATGAATCCATTTCAATCAATTAATCTTGATATTCCTGAAATGTACGATATTACAACACGAAGCCAGCGATAATAAATAATAAATATAAACAAATAAAATAATGACTTTTTTATAAAGAAAATAGCGGGTATCATATCAAAAACATTTAGAACTTCATGAAAAAAATTTCTGTAGTGACGTGATATAATATAGAAACTAAAGAAAATACTATTTAGTAATATTACCGATACCTATGACGACAAATAAAATCAATTGTAAAGTTATATACTTAATCAGCATATTGTTTATACAATGTTAACTTATTTACATTATGCCAAGTAGGTGAACCACACGTTGATTAAGTGTTTAACTTAACAATTGATCTTATTTGTCGTCATACGTATTTGTTATTACAAAATGGCATTTTACATAAATTCCACATAGTATCACGTTTTTTAAAAGTTTAAATACACTAAGCAGAGCCGTAGCTAGGGCTTGGCGAGTCTGGCTCAGGCCAGGGGCGCAACGAAAAAAAGGGCGCAAAGCCAAACTAAAATATTCCTATAATATACATTTTATTTAGAACAAGTGCAAAATTCACTTTATTGTAGTCAGAAGTCACTAGTCCGTAGAAACTAGAAATTGTTAAAATTAATTTTAATATAACTAATCTTCTTGGTAAATATTGTACTATTTTCGTTCGCATCGTCGCCGGCGTGCGGCAATGACCGTCGACGATAACGATCGATAATAATTATTATCGTAACTATCATAATATAATATTTGATTAGTCTACAATTTGACGTCGATTGCGTCGAACAGTTTTATTTATAACTTATAGTGCTCCAACGCTCGTGTCCGTATAAAATTATACCGCCGCATCAGCGCGCACGTCAACAGAAAATGTATGTAAGTAATATAGGTATATTATCAATGTAAATTATTTAACTATAGGCTATAATATCGGGATATAATAATATAATACAATATATTATATAGTAGTGTTATTAATTTTTAATGTTATCTCTTAAGAACGAATAAAAAATATATTACCTATAATAATTCGATAGTCAAAAGGCAAATTTATCTTACCCTCACTTAGGTTGATATTTTTGTTGTAGCGAAAATAATAAATTTCATATAATTTTCTAGTGTTTAACTGATTTCCGTAACCCACCATATGATTCAACTATTATTATTTTTAATATTACTCGTTTATTATAACGTCGTAACTCGTAACCGGTGACGCCCCACGTGCTGTTGAGTATTACAAAATATAAATAGATGAAAGATGTAGCGGTAAATCTTCTTATAAGTATTTAGATACTTATAATTTTTTTTTGCCCCTCCCCCCCTGAGTTGCATTTCTGCGGGTGTCCCTGCTCGTAACCAATACGTTAAATAGTGACCAATGTTGTAAGACACATACAAATGTTATCATAAGAAAACATAGGTAAGCGTAAGCTTCATAACTATGTTGATAAATAACCTGTTTAAAGCATCTCTTGTAAAGTAATGATTTTGTGGGTTACGAAACTTGGCCTTTTAACCATCTTTTTCATCATATTATGATTGATTCATCATTCATTAAAACAAGCATACGAAGCCTGTCTGCTTTCGTTATATTATGAAAAAATAATCATTTTAGAATATAGAACATATATACTTATTTCTATTCAAATAATATCATGTATTTAAAAATAAAAACGTTTTAATTTCAATATATTATGTTAGATTTTGAGGGTAAAAATATTATTTTTTTATTTTCAAAAAAATATTCTTTCTTTGTCGACTGCTTCTTTAGTTATATTTTTATTTTGTATTAAATAGGCTGATAATATATAATGTCTTCGAAAAAAACGTCAGGGTCGTGGTTTTTCAAAGAAAGAATTAAAAAAGAAAAGAAAAGTAAAAAATTAGCGAATAATATTCAAAAATGGTTAATTCCTGAAGCCGTTAATTCTAACAATGTTAAAGTCATAACACCTGAGCTAAAACTGTCTAGTATATCTTCTAACAAATTAAAAATTCTAGAAATTGAAAGTGAACAAATTGACAATGTAGACTATTTCGTTGATAATAACCCAACAGATATTGACAGTTATTTTAATTTTAAAGACCCTGGAACTTAGCCACCAATTACGTCATCTATTAGAACACTACTTGTAGAAAAGAGGCCACAACATTGTGAACCAAAAAATGTGCCAAGTGATGATAAAAGACGGCATTTCAATAAAAAGTAGTTTTATAGAAATTTGTCGAATGATGAGAAAGTGAGTAGACAGTGGCTTATGTACAGTGAAGTGAAAAATACTATATTTTGTTTTCCATGTTTATTATTTTCTAACGACACTAGAAAATTTTAAATAATAGTTGTAATGACTGGCAGTATTTAAATCCTCATATTCCAAATCACGAAAAATCTAAAAGTCATTTAAATAATTTTATAATTTGGAAAGAACTCGAAAAAAGATTACTTATGGGAGTATCCATTGACTCTGAATTTGAAAAGTCCATTACTAAAGAAAAAGAAAAATGGCGTAACATATTGAAAATTATAAATGATGTTATACTTTTTTGCTCAAAAAAAGAATTTGGCCCTTAGAGGTACAACTGAAAAAATTGGTGACTTGAACTCTGGTATTTTTTACAGTTAATAGAACTTATTAGTCAATATTCTCCTGTACTAGCTCAACATGTCCAAGAAGTAAGGCAATCTAATTTTCATACTATTTATTTTTCACCAACAATTGAAAATAAAATTATAGTTTTACTTGGACAAACAATTAGAAATAAAATAATAACAAGTATTAAAGAGGCAAAATATTATGGTATTATGTTTGTTTGCACACCTGATGTGTCACATAAAGAACAAATGTTGCAAATTATCAGATATGTTAAGATAGCCGATTCTGAGATTTCAATCGAAGAAAGCTTTGTCGATTTTATTCATTCAAAAGAGAAAACAGGTACTGGATCGGCAAGTGAAATATTAAAAAAACTAGAAGAAAATGGAATAGAATTAACAAATTGTCAAACACAAAGATATCAGTTACGGAACTGCCGAGCGCCGTATGCTGCCTTTAATATTATCATGGGCTTCAAGCCCATAAAATGCAGGGCACCACAGTCGATTATGCTGTTTTTTACTTGGGACAGAAACTATTCGTACAAGGTCAAGCGTTCGTTATCATTAGCAGAGTTCATAGCCTCGATGGACTTCGTATCGAAGAATTGGACGCTTCAAAAATAACGGGAAAGACATCCTGTAACGTTGACGCTTTGGATGAAATCGAAAGACTGAAAAAGATCAATTGCAAAAAAAATATCAATTAAAAATCTTTAAAAAAAAAATATTATCAGTAAAAATTTACTTTCAACTAAAAAGTAGAAAATAAAAAAATAAAAAAATACATTTTTAAAAACACTTTTTTATAAAAATATATTTTAAAATTGCACTAAAAAGACAAGAATAATTGTTTGTACTTAAAAATAATGAAAAATTTAAAAGCATGTGGTGCATCATACAAAACATTTAAAGCCGAGCAAAGTCTCACATACACTTCTTTATTCAATCCTGTTTATAAGATAGTGACTGGGAGTATATGTCAAGTGTAAGAGCAAAATAATGAAAAATGTACTGATGAAAAATTTAAAAGCCGAGCAAAGTCTCACATACACTTCTTTGTCGTTCAATCCTGTTTATAAAATAGAGTTTGGGAGTATATATCAAGTGTAAGAGCACCACACACTTTTAAATTTTTCATCAGTAAATTTTTTTATATTCTAAGGTTATAAGTTTCGATTGTTTTTTTTTATCCTTAATAAACTAAAAACATTGAATTTTGTATATATAATTATTTAGTAAATATGTGCTCGTGGAGGGGGGTAAGAAATTTACAAGGGCGGAAATATGTTAAATGGTCTGGAGCGCTAATGTACCTTGCTACAGCTCTGACACTAAGGGTCATTTTATCAATCTCCAGTTAAAAGAATTTAATCTTTAGTTAACATTAATCCCTAGTTAAATTAGAAATGTGATTTTTTCATCACTCAATTAATATTTTAACTGGACTTTAACCGATAATTAATTAATCCGAGATATTTGCCCAGTTAAAGAGTTAAACTAAAGATTAGGTACAATATTATCATTTATTAGATTATATCGTTGATAAATCTTTATAATTGGTAATTATTTAAATGTACCTATCTTAGCACCATTTAATTTAAAAAATATCGAACTTATTTTATTACAGTACCTACCACTTTTGATATTGTCACATTACAAAAAGTGTACTTTAAATATTAAACTTAGATGGA